TGCCCGCGGCCCGGCCGCCCGCCGCGGTACTCGGCGGGACCTCGCTGCTCTTCGCCCTGCTCCTGGGGAGCCCCGCGGCAGCTCTGGCGGGAGGTAAGCGCCCGGAGGGGCGGGGCGGGGGAGGGGGCAAAGTTGCGGCGAGTGCGGGGCGGCTGGGGGTCTGCGCCGACCCGGGCGCCTCGAGCACCGCCTGCTGGGTTGGGGAGCGGGGGCGGCCGCCCAAATTCGGGGCTGGGAACCGCGTCCCCTCGGCCCGGGCTGATGGGAGTGTGGAGGCGGGGATGTGTCTGAAGGACTCCGGCGCTTCCCTGCTTCGGCTGCGGGCTCCTTTTCGGTCTGCTCGGCTGTGGGGCTGACTCCCCTTTGCAGCCCCAGAGAATATCCTTGGAGTGGGGTCTCCCCCAAACCCCAGATGCCCGGAGCTCTCTGCAACCGCACCCGGGGCTGGGTGCCAGATAATTCTCAGCCTTTCGGGGAGAGGACGAGAAAGGGGGCAGCTGACCCGCCCTGCAACTGAGAACTAGACTCGAACTGTGCGTCTGGGGGCGTCATAGCGCCGCGCCCTCCCACTCTAGGACCCCTTGCCTCCTTTTGGTTCAGGCCGTCCTGAGGGACCGGGTCCCTGAACGGCTCCCAACTGCCTGAATGCCGAACTTGGGTGTGGCTTTCGTTTGGAGGCCGGTGGAGGGGCCTTAGGGTTCTCAGAACTTGGCGGGGGAGGGAGAGGAGACGTCAGGTCACAGTCGGGAACCTGAGCGGACACTCTCCCTCCCCACCCACCCCAGACAGCCTAGTGTCTCAACACTATTATGAATTGGGGAGGTGGCGGTGATAGTTTTGGCCACCACGTGCTTTTGGGTTGGGAAAGGGGGTCCAAGTTTAGCCGAGGATGGTTGCTCCTCCTTCCCAGACCCGGAGCCACACCCTCTTCTCCACCCCGCTGAGGTCCCCCAGGAAAAGTTGTGTGTTGGGAGGTTGGGCGCTTCACTCACCCACAGCTAACCCCAAGAGCTGTGAGGGTTTAATCAGTTCACTAGGAGACCCCAAAGTGGAGGAGAGCATTGGTAGACCACCCGACGTAGCCTTCTGAGAGGTCTCCGGGTCCCAGAAACGCGCTCCTCGTGAGGGAAATAAGCAGGCAGTTGCAGGGTCTTCCCAGGCTGAAGACAGTCCGAGGGCGCACACCCTCCCCATCTGGAGCCTCGATCTCTGTTTGTACCATCTTGACCCGGAGTTGGGGCACAGGCTGTGCCCTTTCTCCCTAAGGAGTTCTGGACCCCTGGCGCGCACACCTGCTTTCAGCACCAAAGGCCGCGGACAGCTCTCAGCTCCGTGGGCCCTAGCTGAGTCCCCTTCCCTCCAACTCTTCCCCACGGCCTGGAGTGCCCTCCTCAGCATAAATCAGGCATTTTATCCCCCACCCCCTTCTCTTTAAATGTGGAGCCCCGGAGTGCAAAGGAAAGGAAATAATTCATCACCTTTTGTTTAACAAAGCATATCATTAAAGAACCCCCCTTTTATGAAGCAATAATAATCACAATTTACACCAGGTCTGGACAATTTCTCTGGGAAAGATGGGAGAAGAGAATTGGTTTAAATAAATCGTTTCCACCACAGCATGCCCTTTTTTAATTAGCTGTCTTTCCAACAATGGCTTGGTGGCCTTGAACATAGTCCACATCTCCCTCCCTCATCCCCCTTTGAATCTGTGTTGTGACTAACACACAGAAAGAGCCCAAAGCTACTCAGTGTCTTGCTGGCTTTTCTAAAGTGATTCTTCCTTTGAGGACCACACTCTCCAGTACACCACCCTCCAGGAAAAATATCTTAATGACACGTATTGAATTGTCATCCAAGACAGGGATTTCATATCCTGTTTCCTTCACTGGCTTCAAACACAAAATATGTGTGTGTTAATTTTTAAGACATTTCATATTATTTTTCCAACTCTTCGACACTACAACTAGCCAGCATATATTTTTAATTAACTTCAGGTCACTGACAAATTAAAGATGTACTACTTCAGAAGGCTCATTAATAACCCTGTGCTTCTGACTCTGAGTGGTAAGGGAAGAATGAGGATAACCAGTGAGCACTGCCAATTCTGATGGTGCATTTGGAAACAATTGACCTTTCACAATGAACTCTTATTTTTAACCTGGAGCCCAACTTCCACTAATGTCAGGAGAGCCGTGCATCTAATACAGTGTTGCAAGCTAGTCCTGTTTGCCTGTGCAGTGAGGGGATTTGTAAATACTTGAAAGGGACTTGTTGCTACATTCTTATGCAGGTCACGTGATTCTCTGGGCCATTTTGCTGTAAGGCATGAATAAGTATAAAGTATAACTTGGTTTTGAAGAGGCTTCTTATTGTCTAAGATAGGCACATGGGGAATAATTGTAGCTACGTGCTAAGACTGCAGAGCCTGAGTGTCATTTCTTTTCTTTTTCTCTTGAATTAATAAAGGAAATTCAATATTGCTCAATAGGACTCAAATTTGCTGCCTCCTCTAGTCTCTAATGTGCGTTGTTGTTAAATTCACTTAACAACTATTTTCATTATGGATTGCCATTCTTTCCCATGGAGTTTTGGCTGCTCCTGCCAGGGGCCACCTTATCTAAGCTTGAGGGATTCTTCTTGTGTTCACAAGGCTTAGTTAGACATTAGGAAAATAATGTTATATTCCTTCCCCCCTCTTCCAAGGCAAAAGGATGTTTCCTGATCAGAGTGGCTTGTTTTGTGGTTTTGCTCACAAATTCTTGCTATTCAAAAAGCTATTCAAAAGGGCTCAATTTACTGGTCCTCCCGCTCCATCCACTGGCGTGCTGCAGACCTCCACTAGGGGCGCTCAAAGCTGCATTTGGTGACTGAGGGCAGAAGGAGCCAATTCTGCCCTTTGCGACCAACCAGCAGGTGAGCGCAATGTCAAAGGTCAGCAGAGTGGAGCTCTAAAGATGGCCTCGGCTCCACCTCTACCCGTGCCCCTTTCTGCTTCCTACAATTGATTCCTATTTCTCAGAGGGAAATTATTGATGACACTTGCCATGCAGTGAAAAAGAGGAAGGAAAGGTGATAAGAAGGCAGGAGAATGCTCCAAGAAAGGCAGCTTCAGAATGCAGAGTCCAGCTGTCCCTTTTCCTCCCAGTCTGTGGTTTCCTTCATGCAGCCAAATTGCAAAACACCAAAGAGGCTGTGGCAAGGCTGTTGTTCTGGGGAATTTGAGCTGGGCGCTGGTATTAGATTTATCTGGAAAATAAATATTGTGGCTTTGAAAACCTGGGTCCAGGGGTGCCTGGGTGGCTCAGTCGTTAAGCGTCTGCCTTCGGCTCAGGTCATGATCCCGGGGTCCTGGGATCAAGTCCCATGTCGGGCTCCCTGCTCGGCGGGAAGCCTGCTTCTCCCTCTCCCAC